GGTAAAGAGACTTATGTAACTGTTAATACAACTGAAGCAAGAGCTGTGAAGCCTAAAGTAAACGTCTCTGGCCCTAACAATGAAGAAATACCCACTGAAACAACAGAGAAGACACCAGGGGTCTATGACATAACATTTACACCAGTACAAGGTGGAAATCATCAGTTGCACGTTAAAGCTTGTGGTCAACTAATATCAGAGTCTCCATACACCCTTCAAGTGTTCAATCCGTCAGCTGTTCAGTGTGTGAATGATGGTCCAGTTAGAGTAGTACCAGGTACACCAGTAAACCTAGAGTATGATATTAGTAACGCTGGACCTGGCTCCTTCAACCTGAATCTCAGTGGACCAGAAGAATCTACAATAGTACCTAGCACCAATGAAGAGAATCCTAACCTTCTCTCATTCACATTCACTCCCAATACACCAGGAATCTATGAAGCACGAGCCACTTTTGAAGCTATTCCTATCAGTGAAGAACCACTGAATATCCTTGTAACAGACACTGAATTGCTTGTTATTTCAGGCAGTGGTGCAACAGGCAAGAAGGCCCAAATTGGCGAACCAGTAGAAATAGTTGTTGATATATCTAAAAGTGGTCCAGTGCCTTTAGTGGCCACTGTTGTAAAGCCCTCAGGAGAAAAGGAAGAGCTAGTTTTCTCAGCAAAAGAAGATAATCCTAATTTGTTATTGGCTAGTTATACTCCAATGGTCTCTGGGTACTATGACTTGATCTTTTTAGTGGATGGGGAAGCACTTTACAAGGAACCTTTACGTCCATACATAGTCAACCCAGCAGAATTCCAAATCGTCAAAGAGGAGGAGATATATCCAATGCAAGCTGTTCTTGGCCAAGTGAACAGCTATGAGATTTTTGTAGCAAATGAAGTTCAAGAGGATGGCTTTGGAGTGTTTCTTTTGACAGAAGATGAAGCCGACACAGTCGAAGAAGAAATTAAATGCAGCGTAGAGAAATTAGACAAAGACCGTGTCAAAATCGAGTATCTTCCAGAGGCAGAGACGGCTCAATTCGTGGTGCTTACTTACAATGAAGTCCACATTAGCGAGAAACTCTCACTTGCAAAGTTTGATACATCGGAGTTCTTGATGGAAGATCTTAAAACGTCAGTACCAGTTAATGCAGAAACGAGCTTTGTTGTGAGCGGAATACAAAGCAGCAAGTATGAAATCACGGCCGTAGTAACACAAGAAGACGGAAATAATTTGGAAGCAAAAGTCGAATCAATTGAATCGGAGGAAGAAGGCAAGTTTAAATATCGAATCTCGTACACACCAGTCAATATCGGGCTCCTAACGATAATAGTGAAGTGTGGAGCAATCTCACTCTGTGATCTTATTACAGTCAAAGTATTTAATCCATCGCTTGTCACATGCACTGGACTTGAGGACGTCAATGTACTAGTTGGAGTCAAAGTACCTTTTGCCGTCGATACATCAAAGGCTGGAGGTGGGGCAGAGCTACTAGTCCAGCTAGAAGGCCCTGAGAATAGCTCAGTCCTCTGTCAACCTGTAAATGATTGCCATTACTCTGGAGTTCTCTCCTCTGAGCGAGCTGGAATCTGTCGCCTTCGCGTGATGTACGGAGGCATTGAAATACCGAGCTCTCCTTTTATTTGCCGATACAATAGACCAGAGCCTGATGTTGCTAAATGCTCTGTGGGCGACTTGAAAGCCACTCCGGGAGAGTTCATGATTGATTGCCGAGATGGAGGAGGAAACGGTATACTTGAGGTTGCAGTGTATGGCGCTTTTGTGCCGGCAAGATCAATAGCAGTTGAGCATAATGGAGATTTCACATTTAACGTGAAGTACGATATACCAGATCCTGTTGAGACTTTTATCAGTGTTAAGTGGCATGGGATCCATCTTAACGGGAGTCCTTTTAAAGTTATTTTTGATCAATAGACTCAAGCCATTTTTTGCTATGGAACTATAACAATTATTATTATATACATGTAAATTGCTTTCTTAGTGCAGAACTTATCTTATTATTTTACTAATTATAATTGTTAGCATTTTTAGCTTGATTTTATTCCTTTCCACAATTCTTTTAATAATGTTAGTTATTATTATTATGAAAATATTATTTTCATTATAAAATCATTATTTTAATTATAAAAGTTGCTGAAATCCCTTGCCTTGAACGTGCAATGTAGCAGAGATGTAGGTAGCCTGTAACTTAGGCAAAGCTTAATATTTTAGCCAATATAAAATTTTAACTAAACTGAACTCATACAAAATATTTTCTCAAGTTAATACAAAATTCTTATTACAATAATAAAGCTCTCAAATAATGTGCTCCACTCTCTCTTCAGAACAGAAAAGGGACAATAGATTTCCTGTTTCTAGGATAATCTTTAAACTCTTTACGGTATGCCCTATGCTTGTTCATAGCCCATACAGTCATTTGATAGAAACCAGCCAGGAAGAAAAAAAATGCTAAAAAAGAAATAAAATGAAAAAAATGAGCTGCAGTAATCTTGATACAATATCAAATTGTAAGACCGAGTAGCAAAAATATACAAGTTATGCTACATTGAAACAAACATGTGTACATGTACACTAAAGTCCATTTGTGTTGACCTGAGCCCTCATTTTCTTGCTATAACTTTTGATTTACAAGCTCCATTGTAATGATAAACATGCCAGTGCATTCTTCTCCTTTTGCCGCTTCTATTGTGATACTCAAGAAGTAGCTGTAGCTTTATAGCTCCAAGTTGGTTGCACAATAACCCATGCAGAAAGTACGGCCATACTTTTCACAAACATATTATTGCATTTTGTGTTAACTATTGGGTGGGGCCTGTAATCACTTCCTGGGCTCAGATGAATTCAAACGGACTTTAATTTATATTTTAAATGTACACAAACAGTGATGCTAATGTAACCTGGAAGACACTGTGTCATGAACGTGAAAGCAATCCAAGCTCCTCCCTATGAAGATAATAAAAATTAAATTTTTCTTTTGTAAAAATATAAAAAAATTTTTCCTTACCTCGTAAGTATAATTGGGACAGCTTACAAAATTAAACAGGAAAGTGAATGGATCGCTAGTCGGATAAGGAATCCTTCTCTCTTTGGTGCCTATGTACGTAATTTCACAAAACTGAAGCCTAAAATAATTTTTAAATCTGAATTACCAGGCGGCCTTAAGTTCCTCAAAGCGAAATGAGAGCTAAAGTTACCAATCTGACATATCTAACAGAATTTTTAAAAGAATTTCTTGAATGGGGACTAAATATATTAAACTACTAACCACAAAAAGGACAAGGCCTCCAAATATCTGTGACATTCCATAATCTGTATGATAAACACAGAATAACATAAATACTCCATTAATAAGTACAGTATAAGTATATAAGAATGCACAGTATAAGAATAAGAGGAGCTATTATGTATACATGAACTCACAAGGTGGTGTATAGAGTGGATGGTTCACAAAATAAGATACAAAAGCAGCAAAGCTCCAATAATAACCGCAGTTCTGTAACAATAGCAATAATAAATGATAAATTTTCATTTGTCAAGTTACTCAAAAAGTGGGTCATAAATCATGTACTATAGTATACCAAATTTTGCCAAAAATGGCTAGGTGAGAATTCTCAAGTTTTATAATTTTTTCTGATACATATACATGTTCTTATGCTATGTATCAAGTTTGAACTGATTCTGATCAAAATTGGATTTTTTATGAATTTTTAAAGTTGCTCAAAAATCGGGCCAAAGTCCCTGTACTATAGTACAGGGTTCTTGGCCAAAATTCGCCAAAAATGACTAGAAGAGAATTCTTCATTTTTATAAATTTTTCTGATACATATACATGTTCTTATGCTATGTATCAAGTTTGAACTGATTCCAATCAAAATTGGATTTTTTAATGAATTTTTAAAGTTGCTAAAAAATCAGGCCAAAGTCCCTATACTTTAGTACAGGGTCGTTGGCCAAATTTCACCAAAAACTACTAGAAGAGAAATTTCGAATTTCATAATTTTTTTCTGATACATATACATGTACTGGTGTTGTGTCAAAATTTTGAGCTGATTTCAATCAAATTTGAATTTTTTAATGAATTTTTAAAGTTGCTCCAAAAGCCATTATGGTACAGTACATGTACTTGCACTCACTGATTAAGCATGCTTTGTGGGTGATGTACATATACATGACACAAGTTTAATTTGTACATGTACTCGTTGCAATACCTTAAAGAGGTTTCTTATCGGCATGGTAGAGTGAGAGAAGCGATGAACAAAAAGGGTCTCAGCGATTCTCTTGGCGTAATGAAAGGTCCAACAACCAGCTGCAACACTGTAAGTAAAAGACGATTTCAAATTTTAGTTCCAAACTAATTTTAAGCATACATACATATACATGTACACATTTTAATTGACTCAAAGTAAATACAAATAAAAAAACACAAATAAAATGTATAAAAATCTCTAACTCTTAAGTAGAAATGGTACTGTACGTCCATAACTTACTGTGCAGTGATGTCCATTGGTTTATCATTTGCTTCGGGTCCGTAAATTATCGATGGACGCAAATAAAATAACAAGTAGACAAACAGAGGGCCAGAATATTCACAGAGGAAGACCTACGCATGTGCATATAATTTAAATAAATTAATTAAAAAATAAATAAATAAATAAAATTTAAAATAGATACATGTACAGTAAATAAATGCAAAAAGTAAGGTTGTACATGTATAAACAATAAAACACTTAAAATAAATGTAATCTAATAAATAAATTAATAAATAAAATTTAAAATACATACATGTGCATGTACATGTAAATAAATGCAAAGTGTAAGATTGCACACATGTACATATAATTCTGTCACACAAGTCTCTTGATATTATTGATACACAATTACATGTACATGGACATTCATAGGCTACAATACAGTACACATGCTATTGTAGGAACACAATCTCACACATTTCAAGATAGGGAGTAGAAACACACACACACACACACACATTATAGTAATGGTTCACTAGACAATCCATACTTACAAGTACTTAACTACTTATGGTACAGTACAGTGAGTATATACTATAATATGAACACTGTGATGTAAGGACACCTTTATAATGAGGACATTTTGTTTATTAAAGAGGCTACACTGTACATGTATTAAGGACAGGTAGTGTGGGCCCAATGGTGTCCTTAATAAAGAGGCTACACTGTACATGTATTAAGGACAGGTAGTGTGGGCCCAATGGTGTCCTTAATAAAGAGGATACACTGTACATGTATTAAGGGCAGGTAGTGTGGGCCCAATGGTGTCCTTAACAAAGAGGCTACACTGTACATGTATTAAGGACAGGTAGTGTGGGCCCAATGGTGTCCTTAACAAAGAGGCTACACTGTACATGTATTAAGGACAGGTAGTGTGGGCCCAATGGTGTCCTTAGTAAAGAGGCTACACTGTACATGTATTAAGGACAGGTAGTGTGGGCCCAATGGTGTCCTTAATAAAGAGGCTACACTGTACATGTATTAAGGACAGGTAGTGTGGGCCCAATGGTGTCCTTAATAAAGAGGCTACACTGTACATGTATTAAGGACAGGTAGTGTGGGCCCAATGGTGTCCTTAATAAAGAGGCTACACTGTACATGTATTAAGGACAGGTAGTGTGGGCCCAATGGTGTCCTTAATAAAGAGGCTACACTGTACTACATACAATGTCTTTAGTTAGTGTGTGGTTGGGTATCAACTCTTACAGTACTCCAGCCCAATTGAGGTCCTAAGTCTTTAAAGTAGAGACTGCTTCCGTCCTTTAGTTTCAGAGAACTTATCGTCTCTTCATCTTTTAAAGCTTTCGCACCTTTTCAGAACAAACAGAGTAAGAAAGAGGTAGACAAGAGAGTGACAAGATAAATAAATAGATGGTGTCAACTTCGTCAAATTTAAAAATCTTTCTTACCTTTCTCCTGAGAAATTTTATACTGCTGGCGATCAGGATAATACTTGGGGCCTATAAACGCATATTATCCTTATTACGACAATTATTACAATTGGCACAAGGTCATAAAATTAAACCAATTAAATAAATACTGTTAATTTTTCATTAAAGACTTTTTAATTACAGCCCCTCTCTATATCAAAGGAGACTTACATTCCCTTGCATATAACTCCTTTACGCCGGCAATGGTAGTCTTAGCAGTAACCTAAAAGTAGACAACAGAAATATATACCAGCTAAGATACCTTAAGGTTACTGATACTATTAATTGCAAATTTTGTGTTAGGGTTTAAAATCGCAATTATTAATACGCGCAATTATTAATAATGACATCATGATCCCATATAACTATTAGTAATAATTACTTAATCGCAATTTTTAATACCAGAAAAATTTAGTACCCGCAATTAAAAGTCACTCTAAGGTAAGCTGAATAGAAAACTTGTCATACGTTTAGGACTTGGAGTGTCTTCCCAGAACGAAGATGCTTCACCTCGATCTACAAAATAAAAAGTATTGGCTCATTTTATGAAGTAGAAGGCTCTTCCTTTCTAACCTTCATTGCAAAGAAGAGAAACAAGAGAAAGACCTTACACCTCCCCTGATATTGAGCTCAGTCTCAGGTCAAAAATGATCACGTGATCTTTGAGTTTCGCGCGAATTCCAGTTATTAATTTTTGAGCCCCACCCACAAACCCTCAATTAATATAATAGACACAAATTAATAACTCTTAGATATAATATCACGTGATTATCACGTGACCTCCTACTCAACAATATGGACACTAACAGTAGATAGCAACCTTTCTCGGCACAACTTTCAATCCCTGCTGTTTCTTCTCCTTGTTAGCTTTCCATTAAGAGCGAGATAGGACAGAGTGCAAGCGACTGACCCGAGTAGCTCTTGACCGACCGGATCAGAAGAAATTATAAAGAAAATACTTCGTTTTCCTCCTAAATCTTTTCACCTAAAGTCCGTCTAGGCTCATTCTCAGTAAAGGAGTCACTTTGAATCCTCTATTTCTCACTTATGGCTGACCTAAGCAACGAACCTTGGTACCATGGTCGTATATCGCGGAGTGATGCTGAACAGATCTTGACCCAATGTGGCGGAGTAGACGGGTCTTTTCTAGTCAGAGACAGTCTCACCACGTCGGGCGAATACGTCCTCTCTCTCTGCCACCAAACAAAGCGATATCACTACCTCATCTCTCGAAAGCCCGATGGAACCCTTGCCATACAAGACGGAACCAAGTTTGATTCTCCAGTCGACCTTGTTCGGTACCACGGTCAAAAAATCGACGGTCTCTTGACCACGTTGGTATATCCGTGTCGTAGGCCGCCGGGCCAGCCACCGCAAGGATATAGGTTCATTACTCATGATGAAATGCAGCAGGCAATGAGGGAAGGAGCACTGCTACTGGGGTATCAGGTAGGGGATGAGAGTGGGGTTATAGTATTAGGGGGGGGGGGAGAGGGAGAGAGAGAGAGGGAAGGAGGGAGAGGGTACTGAATGTATTATATTTTGTATATGGTACAAATTGATGG